GACAAATAACATTGCGTGAACTGTGCAGCAATATAGAGAATAGGGGGAAGCCAGACAGAAAAGCACATGGAAAGTAGTTTGAATATTTGCAAACCCTGATAGATAAATGTCGTGGACTCACACATTTGTTATCGGCGTCTCCTCGTCGTTTTGTTCCAACAAGACTCTCAAATAATAGTCACCTGATAGCAGAGATACGTTACTGAGTTTGATTCCTATCGAGGAATAAGGGGGGGACGCTTTATGAAGAACTGTTAAAAAGCTAGAGCAGTTAGGCTTATCACTAACCTATTTCAGTTCATCAGCTAAACATTCATACAGGACTTCAAACTAAAGGTGATTCCAAAAGACACGTAGTTTCCACTCAGATCTTTTTCCATTGCAAATGCGTGCAAATCAGATTCGAGTGCCCCAGAAGTTCCTCTCGCGTCTGTCACATTGAAAACATAGAAATTGTTTCATACTCTTTTACGAGAACAGTTTAGAGAAAGAGGTCAGGACTATTGAATTTGTCTTGTTATACTCATAGCGACAAGAAATCCTCCATTACATTTCCATTTCCTATATTTTCAACGGAAACTAACCTTAACTTCGAGACTCACCTTGTAATTCCAAATCAGGTTGTACGCTGTCAGATCTTGACTGAATCTGTAAAAAAGATCCGCTTAAATATCATTGCTTTTTCATCTTTCAAACGACTAGAACATTTTCCCATTTTCTTAATATGAACACTTACTTTTAATAAAAAAACTGGATTTAAATTCTCACATTTTTCCTGGATTTGAATCCTATTTTTGTCCTCCAATGCGAGAGATATCCTTCAAGTTGATTCCTCAACGTTCCCCTCGTTTTTCCAGAGCTCTAAGACACAAGTATAGCACGTGAAATAACAGGCTTATACGTACATGCAAGCATGCATTATGAAATTTTGGAACACGATTGTTGATTTAAAACGTACTTCTGCAAGCTTTACATTGTCACGAATTGATAAACGATCTTCTTCAGTCTCTGGTGGCTGAAGGAAAGATAAAAACTTTCCAACAAAATTGTTTCTTTACAAAAAGGTTTTACACTTCTGAATGAATTACCATTTAATTATTTCCTCAGTGGGGCAGTTGGCACAGTTTAAGGATGAATGATGGAGTTTAGTTACCAAAGCAGTTGATACCACTTAGTCATGAATACGATTGGTTAGTCAGAATCACCTCAATGGGTTTATGTAAATAATGGCCCTCGCAAAAAAGTTTTCAAAGATTTCTTACTTCGTCAGGGCTTTCAAGGTAATAGAGCAAACCAGCAGGCTGTGAAAATCGTATTCAAATTTATTACATAATTGTTTATGAACCAAAAATTATGAACAGGAAATCTCGCATTTAAACTTTCTTGTATATTTTAGACATTAAAAACTATAACTACTTTAATACGAACATTATTCTCGCAAGTAATGCCATTGCTGTTGGATGATGCTATGCCAACAATAATGATTATAAATTACTTATGGAGTATGCTTGTTAGTCTCAATTGAACTATTTACAGATGGCTAGTATATAGAGGATTATAAAATCACAAGTTTTAAGATGAATCTGAGAATGTTGCTAAAATACAACTCAGGTCCTGCGGATGGAATAGAGGCTATACCTCTGCAACAATTTGTTAATTTATCACACTAATTCGCACCTGTTCAATAGCGAACGTCTATCAGTGCTTTGCGTAAACATGGCCATGCGTAAGCGTTTTGGTAGAGCGCCCTCGGCAAGCGCCAGAACTTGTATTTTTGCCGCGGTTTCTTCATCAGCTTCCTAAAGTGAAGTTCTAACTAAATATTAACAGATGATTTTAGGCACTTCACACGATGCAGGAATATTCTTGAGGTTTTAAAGGGTCTTAATTTCGAGTGGTATTATACGCACTTCAAATTCAAGCAGGGAACAGTTGATGGAAAAATGAGTCAACTGTACGTCCTCAGTGACAAGAGCATTGCACCGGCATCGCAAAAGCGTAGGTTCGATTCCTGCCGGAGGATCTATAGTTCACTCATTTTTCCGTCATCTGTTCCTGGCTTGATTTGAAGTGTGTATAATACCTCTCAAAATTAAGACCCTTTAAAACCTCTTAAATATCAACTGAACTAATATGTACATTCATCACGGCTAAAAAAATGCAGAGCGTTATAAATGACGTTCGTCAAAGGCAGAAAATTCTCAATGGATGAATGAATGAATAAAACGTACCTCGATTATCGCCTTCAGAACCATGCCAGCACCTTTCACAATTGTTGTCGACGGATGCTGAAATTGTTGAGGAACGAATTCAAAACCACGATTGGTAAGAACCATTAGCGGGGCAATAGTAAAACATACATAAGCGAAGAAATGGTAAAATTGGTACTATTATTTAGTTTTGTCGTAAACCTACCTGGAACAATCGATAAATGCAATGACCCATTTCTAGACAAACAAATAACAGACTTCATGAGTTGCTCCTATGCATGGGTCAAGCTAGTGGACGTGGTAAACTTCACCAAAAAGGTAAAGAGAGAAAGGCTATTTAATCAACTCTCAACCTCAGTCAAAGAGCCATAAACTACCAAGAAGACAAGTTGAATGAAAAGTTCCTCAAATTTCTTTGTAGCATACCTGCAACTTTCTCCAGTAATTTCCCAAACTGTTCATCATCTGTTGTCTCACTAAGAGGAATATGCAATAGTCGATTTATTGTAACAGACTACATGAGTTGATTCAAAATATTGGAAGCAATCACACCTTACTATTAGTTTAACATGAATGTTCAACTTCACCCCCGTATTATTTTAATATATTGCAAAGCAACTAGAACAAACCTGTAAGGAGGACACAGAGCAAACGTCAGAAAATCAAGCAATCCACTTATAACTAAAACCCCAGTAGAACGAATATAGAAGAAAAGTTTTCATGGTTAATCTATTTCTTGTGTTTAGTTAGAAAGGTAGTTCAAATTAGAAAGGCAGTTGCTACGAATCACTTGCTGGGTTTTGCAAGGGAATTTCTCTTCCAAAACAAAGCTATATACATACAAGAGGGATGGAAAAATAAAATGCAAGGGTTCAGCATAGATTATAGGCAACCAACACCGCACATCTTACAACATTTATCGTGAGAATTTCCAACAAACTGCTTAGAAATTTTTCAGAGGATAACAAAGAGCTTTTGTTTATCTGTTCTTGTCGAATGTCATAGTTATCGTGCGTTGGCTATATAAAAAAACAGAATTGGTTTCGATAAAATTGGATCCTGTTAACATTCAGATTTCAAAGTTGGCTGAGTTTATGTGGATTGCAAGTTAAAGGGGTAACACTAATGACAGTGACAGATTTGGCAACATATTACCAGGAAATTCATCGTTAAAGTGTTGGCGCTTTCCTTTATACGGAAAAAACGGCCAGACCGGTCCTATTGTTGATCTCGGTACAGACAGATTACTGGTATTTTAGAGTGTTTCAAGAACTCTGCGTTCAAGTATATCGTTACTTGCATCTGTCTAGCTCGGAAATTTCGCAACTATATTCTTAACGAAATACTCTATTTTAAATTTAAATATGACCGGTCTGACCATTTTGGCCGCTTAAAGGAAAGCCCTCTCTTTACCTGCATCAGAGCACACAGTATGTCGACAGCGGCGTGAGTCACGGCTTCATTATTCCTCTTCAAAGCTTTCACAGTTTTCACACCAACCTTCTCATAGAAGCTGTAAAAACAAAACAGAAACACGGTCTAGAGAAAGTGAGCTGGTTGAGTAAACAGCGTGTGTTGTGGTTAAAGATAAACGTTTCTCACCTAGTGAGCGTTGTGAAACCTGCTTTGGATCCAACCTAATGTCTCAAAGCGTGAAACAGTGCTTCGAGATCTTTATCTGATATTTTGTTTTGGTCTCCTGCAAATAGACGAAACATTTTAACTATTTTATGTATATATTGAATACCTGTGAAGGTAATAGCAGTCAGAATATGTATATTTTAGGGGTGAACACTAAATATATTTATTGGCAAAGATATACAGTACCTTCGTGAGCAATGAGCATTGTGATGGCATTAATGATAAGTCTTTCTTTATTCTCCGGGAAAAGTCCTTACAAAATATTTAAAATCGTTTGAAATATATATTGGAGTTTAAAAGACTTAATATTCCAGCCGTACTTCTGGCGAGAAAAATTCAAATCTACCATTTCATGGATTCGGACCCAGTCAACTCAGCAACCAGAGTTACCGCAGCGTAGTCCCTAGGCCTCTTAACGTTCCTTATACGCGGCGAGGCGGGAACTGAGAGGCCTAGAACAAAATGTTTTGTATTTTGGCTATTTTGTCCCCACTTTCTGTATTGAGGTCAGTTTACGATCCACGACGCGGTTAACTGGCCTTGTTCGACGTCGCTAGTCAAATATTTGCTTGAAATAACCTACGGGATATTAATTATACTGTCAGGACTTCGAAATATCCATACAAACGTTTCAATGTCATTTGCTGTCGACGCTATCGACTATCAAGTAAACTCGAGTCCGTGCGTACATGGTTATGATTATAATAAGCTTCAATCTGCCAATTTAAATTATTCTCGCTTCCTTTATAACGATTATTGTTGTAAATCTAGGTCAACTAATGCATACTAAAATAAGCAGAAAACTAACGTGCGTATGAAAAACACGTGAGTGGAAAACAGCCTTAATCCAGATTTTGACAGAACATTAAAACTCAGTAAAAATGCAATAATATTCTCTAAACAGGATTTTGTCTGCAGAAAAGTACAAAATAAGAAATTGTCAACTTACGTCTTGGGTGACTGCATGAAGTAGACCGCTGTAGGAAATATTGCAGTTAAATCTCTACACATCTTCGGTTAAATTTCCTGCAAGGAACCAGTAATAAGACAATATAAGCTTTTGGAGATATTTCAAAAATTTAAAGTGAAATAAAAAGAGAAATATTTCACCTGGAGACGCAGCGAGGAATTTTAAATGACTGCTTTCTACTTCTTCGTCAACAACGTTATACAATGGACCCCAACGATAACCTTGAAAAATATATCATCTTAAGAAAACAATTCTTCTTTTGCTGTATGTGATGTATTGGACTGACTAATAGGAATACCTGACGAGAAGTGTAATTGTTTGTGTGTTATATGAGATCCCATACGTCAGGAGGAGAATGAAATGAGGGTTCGTATTTACGGCAATCATAGCAGTGCGAGATTTTAATCAGGAAAATTTTGACCATAATTTTCGCTCAATCATCTATGAAAAAGCGTACAGTACCGTCTCTTCGTTGGGGTCGTTTTTACACAAACATCTCCATTTCCACTGCCTCTAACCCCGTGTAGCTAACCAGCCAATGATATATCCCTAGATTGAGTGAAATACAAACATTCAGAACAAGAAATATTTTATATAGCTTCATACAAAATCTGCTTTTTTAAACTACCTGTCGGAAGACGAGTAATTTCTCAGCTGACCGCTTGTGTATTCCAGCCCGAACAACTGAGGATGGTCTCGATAGCTAATTATTGAAAATATCTGACAGAAAAAGAAGTTTTAAAACTATGATATACTATAATACACAAGTCTTAACCAAACGGTATATTCTGGAAAGTAACTGCAAAAATAAAACTATTTTAAGTCGGCTGGATACTTTTTTGCAATTGGACATGTTCAAAATGGAAACGTGAAATAAAAAAGATGATAAAAGCAGTAAACTTGAATCCAGGTCAGAAGACATGGAGTGTTTGGAGTGTTTGGAGTGTTTGGAATGTTTGTTTTTTTTCTTTCAAGGTCTGAGATGAATTACTGGAACTGACATGGAATGTCGCATGACTTACTGAGCTAAGGGGATGAAGGCTGACGATGTTGAACATATATTATAGTAATAATAGTTTATAGTTTATTATATATTATAGTAATAGAGTTGATGTTCGCGGGCATAAATGTGTTTTTGGCCCTCCTCGCGGAACACATTTTAACCCTCGCTACGCTCGGGCTAAAATGAGTTCGAAGTCGGGCCAAAAACACATTTATGACCGCGAACATCAACTCTATTGTTATATTATTATCACTATAACATACACATGAGTATATACAAAATTAGTAAAATACAATAATTAGTAAATAGATTTGAATAAATATAGTTCACCTGGTGCAAGGCACTTTTTAATGATAACTCCAAGCTTATACTTTCTGGATAATTTAATACATTCTATAGGGTTTAATGATCAATATAGGGATAAGTATCATAAAATTGTTTGGCTGTTGGGGTGTATAAACTATCAAAACTACAAAATTATATCCTGTCAAAATTTCGAATTCTAAAATAATGCCGGGTTTATGGTCATTTGAATTTGCTTGCTACTTTTATAATATGCAAAAAAGTAGACGGTAGACACTGATTTTAAGTTCAAATTTATAATATTTCGAAAATATATTATGCATTATTAATTATATAACATACCTTGAATAAATTTGAAGTTTTACATGATTCAAGAACATTTTCATTTGTATACCGAACTGTTTCGCCTTTGGATTTGATTCCGTTCATTAGTCAAAGTACACTTCAAGATGTCGGGCTTCCCTTCAAAATTGTCGAGGCCTGGGATATGACGGTGCTAGTGCTGTGTCCAGCCAGGTAAAAGGTATTTCTGGGAGAATATTAGAGAAAAACCCGAAGGCGTTGCATGTTCATTACTCCAGTCATCGTTTAAACCTTATTGTTGCCAAAGCGTGTTCAATTCTTCCAGTGAAAAATATGTTGAGTCAGGCACAAAATATCGCCAGCTTTTTTATCAGTTTCCCTATCCGCTCACAGTATCTAAGTAAAAAGATGAAAGAGTTTGGTTTAACCCGTAACAAGCTCGCAAAGCCTTCCACGACACGATGGGTAGAACGAATAAGATCCCGCGATGGTTGTTTGGATGCATTCAAAGTTATCTACGAAACACTCAATTTTATGCAGTTTGGAGGATCGCAGGAAGGGCCATTTCCTAGATTAGCTAGTGACGCACAGTCTCATTTTCGCAACGTGGAGAAATTTGAATTTATGGCTGCTCTCATTATCACCCAACATGTTCTGGATCATACTTTGTCATTGACGGTCCAATTAAAGAAGAAAAAAAAATCGATATTGCGGAATCAATAAAACAGATTAATCTTTTAAAGGATGAAATGGCAAAACTACGTGCCTCTGTAGATTTATTCCACAATGAATACTACGACAAGCTGTAGGAATTAGCTAATAACCTCGACGTGGCTGAGTGTTTTCCCCGGGTATGTAAAGCTCAAACAAAATGTGATAATAATCGTACCAGTACAGCAGGTGGTTACAACAGATTATTAAGAGTCGTGCATAGGCCACGTGATAACGAAACATTCTGAGCTCATCAATGAACAATTGTAAAGGTTTTATTGTAACTCATAGGAAAACCTAAGGATATATTTTGTAAAATCTATTATATTACGAGTGTCTTTTCCTAAGTCTACCGACCCCTGAATTCCCCACGCTATCGTCACCCTGTAATAAATAAGTAACGTTGCAAGTCCTCACCTTCAACCACAAGGATTAAATTACGTAATTCGAAGTGCAAAATTGAGATTACCGGTTTCTAAGTTTACCGGTTTATAATGCTCAGTATTTAATAATCCGTATAAGACCAATTTATCATTATTATTACTTGACTTACGGATTCATTAAGTTTATCCTCGTCTTAACTCAAAAAAGTTTTCAAAGGACTTGCATCCAGAAGGGATTTACCAGGAACAGGCTAAAATTAAACAGATGTTGAGATTAATGCACGATGATGATTCGTGATCTTAAAATTGCTACCTTTTGAAACTCTTCACGAGTTAATAAGCCTTGACTGTTCCCTGTGAAAGAAAAATAGGTAAATATAGTCATATTATAATATATATTTCCTCCATATTGCAAAGGTAATTTCGCTTGCCTTCAGTTTCTTCCTTGTGTAAAACAGTGTCTTTGGAATCTGGTACGACATCAATCTGAAACGATTGTAAAATGAAAAAGCTAGTCTAAATCAAAGATCTCTTTCTTTTCTGCTTCCCCTGCCAGTCATGTTAGTAGCAATATAAGGGATGGATAGTGAATGTTCTTGCACGAAATAAATTTCATGCAAAGCGAGTTTGAAGAGAAATTCTTACCATAAAAGCGCTTGGTCCATATCTCGGACTACGACTCAAATATCGAGTTCGTTGAACAAATGCCGAACCAAGATTCAACTTTTGACCGGAATCTTGTAATAAAATCGACGAGGGTGAAGATCTGCCGTGTTCTGTAAGCAGCATCTTTTGTTCTGCGCTGTCTAAAATGTTGGCAGATAATTTGTTCATTTCGTAAATGCGCGAACAATGGCCGATCTGTTTTAACATTACAAACCTGACTCCTTGAATTCGGTTTTCTTCATTTCAACATCATCCCGGGTATCTTCAATATTAGTTTCCTCATCTTCTCTACACGATGCGAGGCGATCTTTGACAAGATCTACAATCAATGTACGCTGTCTGTGCTCTTGCTAAGAAGTTCTGTTGTAGTTTCAAGGCGTTTTCTGGCTCCTTCTTTAATGAGTTCGGCCGATAAATCATCTGAAATACAACAATATCAATTTGACATTCCGCCAACGGAATGCCCAACCGAAACATTGAACAGGTTTGACCCATCGTTGACCTTACCAAAGAGTTGTTTTGGAATTAAACTTTCATAAATCTCAGTCTTTCACACCGCTGGTCGTCACAAGATGTTTGAGTCACAAGATTTCTGTACTGAGCCTACGGTACCAGTGGGCTTTAAATCGCGGGTAAGAAGGTCAGATGCTTTGGTATCGAATTTTGTGTTTGGCACCTGGCTAGAATCATCTGCACGAGTTTTTCTATCAGTTGAAGAAGCCTGGAAATGACAAATACGTTCCTAAGAGCTTTCACTAGAAGAATATTAAAACTTGGTCGCTCTTGCAAATATATCTATTGAAAATTCAGCAAGCAATCCCCCTGGCAATAGAATGACATGTGGACTTACTTTCGTGATAATGGCACGAATTGTTTTCTTAACAATAGCGGACAGTTGACAAACCAGGATGAAATGACATTATCAGCAAGAGCTACAGTGTATTGAGAGTATCTAAGGTGAAACATATCAGTTCGTTTATATTTTAATCATTTTGACAAAACCAATAATAAAAAGTTTCAGATGTTATCGCGTTGAGCCAACTTCGATGATTCTGTGTAAGGCAAACATATTCCAAAGACTTGTTTCAACTGGATCGCTGTGAAGTATTTGTAATAAGCACAAAGCTGTTACAATGCGATTTAAACGATTTAAAAGAATGTTACCAACTTTTCGCCGAATACGATTGTGTGTTTACACAACCTAGCTCTCTTTAGGGGGTACATTGATATTTTGTAACAGATTTCATAATTTACGTAACTTCAAGAAACATACCAGAGGGAAATTCTAGCAGTGGTATGGCAACTTGAGACGTTGGCGAAAGTTTAGTAAACTTTTCCAGATATTGTGGGAGCAGTCTAAGGACAGAAAATTTAGTAATTATTACTTAAAAAATCATATATTTGTGAAGGAGTATCTCGCATCACAAGAGACGTTACGTTTAGGCTGGAGTTTATTGAAAAACGTTTCTGTAAATTCACTGAGCACATTATCAAGGCACGATTTCAAATATCTCCAAAGAAATAAACTTCTAAAACGCTGCAACTACTTAAATCAACTTCATTCTTACAAAGTGCTAATGGAAATAAAAAAACGTCTCAAATTCCAGACTATTTTAGGTAGCTATACCTTGCCATAACTGAAGGCATTTCTAACATACATACGGTGAGACAAGATACGCTTAACGTCGCGAAATGAACAACCAAGTACGCATCAGACAACACTAGACGAAATATATAACAACGTTTAAGCAAGAACAGACAACCGCTGAAAATAAAGTCACGCAGATTCTTACCTGTTCATCTTGACCAATAAAAATGTGGTACGTACACAGCTCCGTTAATACCTGCACGTGTTACAATAAAATATCCAATTAAATCATTAGTATGGTATGATATAATTATGGTATGATATGCATGGTTATGGTATGGTATGATTTCGTTATGGTATGGTATGGTGTGATATTATTATGGTAAGATATGGTTATCGTATGGTATGATTTAGTTATGGTTAGTTATGGTATGATATGATTATATGATATGATTATATGATATGATTATATGATATGATTATATGATATGATTATATGATATGGTATGGTTATGGTATGGTATGGTTTTGGTATAATTATGGTAAGATATTATGATATATGCAAAAAACTGATTGATAAGAACCGTACTGGAAAAATTCTAGCGTACAAATGAGGTCGGCGCATATCGTTAGGAACACGAAATAATCCAGGAAGAAAATCGTAATTTGAAACCTGAATGCAAAGTAAAATTTTTAGTTCATGATTTTGGTGTGAAAAGTACACAACTTCACTTCCCTTCCCATTTTAGAGAAGACTGTAGATATTGAACGTAAATATTGCTTTCCAGAAAGTATCAAGTTTTTATCTTGCACTGCCTCTGGAAAGTTCCTCAGAAGAACATCCAACACCTCCCATTCCAATTCCTAGAAAATGAAGAAAGTTGAACTTCAATCGAAACTTAATGCCAGATGATATATTATGATAGAAAAGTTTACCTGTTGTAAGCACACAAGAATAACATTCATCGCCTCGCTGTAAGGCAGTGAAACAATCCCGTTTGTCTTATCTTCTGCAGAACTAAAACAAAAATGAGAATGTATTACGCAAACAAGAAAAGGAATTTTGGAAGCAGAATACCTGACATACGTGGCACTATCGTCATTAACCAACATTTTCTTTCAGAACAAACAAAATACGAAGTGAATTAAACCTTTCTACTTTTGTCTTGCACAAGGCCTAGACGTTGTCAGCTCGCAAACTGAGGAAACATTGAAGAATCTTTAAGAAAACACAATGTGAGACATCATAGAAAAATCGCGAGAAATAGAATTGAATTTGCCTTACCGAAAGCCGTATTTCCGATGCACTATACGTCCGATAGCCATTGTCATAATGAGTTTTTATGTGGTACACTAATATATTGAATATTCGTTCGGCTCGTTCTTGAGGTTTACGAAACAATTTCATCTGCAAAAATAGAATGAAATTACTGAAAGAGAAGCAAGTGTGGCATTAAATTACACTTATTTTTGTTCACGAAATAACTTCATCACAATGAACGAATATGTGTGGACAATCTCTGCATGTCCTTCATTACCTTGAACAAGCGTACTAATCCTAATACAGCCTCCTTGATGTCTTTCTATGCTGTTTCATCCTGAGGCTGCAGCAACAAAGACAAATTACAGTGATTAGATGTAATTTTATGTCTCTAGATGTTCCTACATATACCTTGCAGTCTCTATAATTACCTTACATGTTCTTTACATGACGGCTTAACGTATCGTTTGAGAGGATCAACTGGACAGTGGCAATCTGGAATTGATAAATGAAATATATATCCTTTTACTTCATTGATGCGTTTGCATTCAGGACCCCCGTGTAAAACGATCCAATTTGCGGATATATAGTTAGGTTCAGGTCAGGAAGCTTTCACTGATAAGAAAGAGTTTTTATTGAAGTACAGTATCAGCTCATCACGAATGAAGAGGGAAATTGGAGTGGAGAAATGAAACCGTCTGAAAACGATTGTATTGAGTACCTTCTCGATTATATGCAAAACATCGCAAACTTTCGGTGAATCAGAGGATTCAATAACATCGACCAGAAGCTGGACAGCTCGGATCCGCACAGAAATATCCCGATCTTTGACAATGTGGTCTAAATGTGGCAACACTGAATTCTCAAGTATTTCTTCCTGTAAAAAACAAGGAGTTATAAAACTAGAAAAAGATTCATAATATCGCTAATGTCTAGAAAAATGGACTAAAATTTATTCAAAGTACTAAAATTTTATACCTCATATAGTGGAGATAACGTTCCTAATATGTTACAAAGCACATTTAGAGCTTTAATTCGGTTGGCCGTCCTCTCTTCACATCTAAAAAAAAATTCCCATTAGGATAAGACTGAGGCTACATAGAAATACATCACGAACTTAAACAAAAATCAACATACCAAAATATTACATTTTTACATAACAAAATATAAAGAAAAAAGAAGACCACACACTTGAAGTATTTCTCCACCAAATCTTTAATATTTTCAAACCAGTTTTCGCAGTAAGGATGAAGAGACTGGGAACGATGAGAAACCAGGAGAATAACTGAGGATTACTGCAAACAACGACATTTCATTTAGCTGCAAACAACGACATTTTATTTAGCTAAGTGGATTCCGTTAGATCTTCATATATTTTATTAATTTTGTCCTCAAAGAAAGTCATAAAATTGTTAGCTAGATTCTCATCAGATTGGCACACAGGATATTGAGAATCAGGGGTATAATGTAGTAACTTTCCAACGGTTTTAAATAATTTCTTTTGGTCACTCCCATTATCTCTAACAATTTCAGAATAATAACGAGTACGACTTTTCTATAATAGCTCACTGACACGGCGACATTGCTGACTGTATTTTAGACGATCACAGGATTGTCTTGACTTACGCCATACCCGCTCGAGTTTCCTTCTGATACGTTTTTCGTTTTTAATTTGTTCAGTGTACCAAGGTGCAG